TTAAGGATATTTAAGGATATTCAGTTATATGTATACACCACATGTTGTTTATCTATTCATCCATCAATGGACATTTGGGTTGTTTCTGCTTTTTGGCTATTATGAATAGTACTGCTAAGAAAATTGTGTACAGATATTTTTGCCGTCTTTGGTTTGTTTTTAAAATAGTTCACTGTTGATTAGATAATACAGGCAGCTCGTGCAAAGTCCAAGATGCTGCTCCTGGGAGACCCTAGCCCAAGGCCAAGGCCCAGGGTGAGGAAGTCCTGCCTCTTCCCTGCCCCTCCCCCCTCTCTAAGAGCCACATCCTGAGTCCCTCCCTGGGCTCCCTCCCTCAGACCAGCCCTGTCACAGCACAAGCCTGTGCATCCCCTGAGCATCCTCTTCCTGTGGAGGTCCCAGCGGAGCTCAGCTTCCCTTGGAGTTAATGGCTTCATCTGTCCTTGCAGAGGTGGGCACAGGCACTAGGGCAGAGGTGCTTAGTGTTGGTGATGACTGCCATTGTCTATCGGAGCCTGGATGCCCACAAGGACCCTAAGGAGCACCCAGGGAGAGCTATGGCCCTATTTTGTAGACAGAGAAGCCAATACCCCTTCTCACAGCTGCCTCTGCCTCTGCCCCCCACTGGAGCTCCAGAAAGCTGGGCTCAGCATCACAGGGAGTGGGCTTCCGAGTGCAGCAGGCCTGGCTTTGGGCTCCAGCTCTGCCACTTGCTATCCAAATAGCTTCTCTGGTGCCCTGTGGTCTTCCCTCTGTAAGATGTGCCTGCCACTGGGTTGTCTTGAGGAAGAGATGAGATAATGTGGGTAAACGTGCCCCATGTGTGGTTGACAAAGGGGTTACTAGTGCTCAGTCAGTGGAAGCCAGGATCATTCAAAACCCAGCCAGATGCTGTAGGATCGCACTTAAAGTCTGCTTGCTACTTGCAAACACCCCTGGCCTGGCTACAGGTAGGACTGGGCCAGGAGGAGTCCTGACACCCCCATGCCATGCCCAGAAGAGATCCCTGCAGGGTCAGGCCTCAGAAGACTCCCTGCCAAGAAGAAGGTGCCCCAGGAGGTCAGGAG